ACTCCTCCAACTCCAGCTCCCCCCCCCTTCTGAATTGCTAAAATGAAAAAGCTTGAGTGGAGTTCACTTGCCTCTGCAGTAAAATTACACTATATAGATTATATCTGAAAGTCCTTGCCCTCCTTCCCTCCCTCTTCCTTTCCTCCCTACCCCGGCCAACCTCTTGTCTCTCCTCTCTGGTTTTATAAACTCAGCAAAGATATTAACAATTTACAGCTGTACATCAAAATTACATCTAACAAATGAATCACTGAAACGATGCAATGAAATTGTGCTTTCACGGATTTTTCTTTAGGTCTGTCACTAAAAATGTGATTCATCCATAAAACATTTCACTGTGTATGTGACTGCACTTAGACATGGATATGAGACCTATGGCAGTGAATCAAGAAGCATTGAAAGGAATAATACAACCCCAACCCCCACTAAAGAGTGTGGGCCGCAGTCTTCTGGGATCTGAGGAGAGCAGGTAGGGAGGAAGGTAATCAGATGGGGGGCTTTGTGCACAGACTGAATCAGTCCCACTGGCAGCGTGACCCCCGTTTAGCCACATACCATCAATTTCTGTCTATATGTTCTGTAGATACCACACACCACTGTCACAGTCTCACTTGTTTGCTCTGCTGTGTACCCCCACCACCCCACCCCCCCCATCTCTCTCTTTCTTCTTCCTTTCCTCCCTACCCCGGCCAACCTCTTGTCTCTCCTCTCTGGTTTTATAAACTCAGCAAAGATATTAACAATTTACAGCTGTACATCAAAATTACATCTAACAAATGAATCACTGAAACGATGCAATGAAATTGTGCTTTCACGGATTTTTCTTTAGGTCTGTCACTAAAAATGTGATTCATCCATAAAACATTTCACTGTGTATGTGACTGCACTTAGACATGGATATGAGACCTATGGCAGTGAATCAAGAAGCATTGAAAGGAATAATACAACCCCAACCCCCACTATATCACTCCACAGTAACCCTACCCCCTCCTCATTCACACACACACACTCCCGCTCTCTTCCCCATCTCTCTTTATCCTGCGCACATGCACTGCACATACACAGTAACAGCACCATCATTAGGAGAAATAGAGGAATACAAACCCCACAATATCTCTGTTGTTCCTCAGGGACTTGGAGGATACATTAATGCCGTAGGTATAAAGTATAAAACATAAATATGATGTGAACCGCATTATAAACATACACACTACATACACTATTTGTTGTTTGCGCGTGTTGTGCAAAGGACAGTTTGTTGATGTCCATGCGTTTGGGGCTGTGATGAAGAGCAGGTGTATTTAAGTAAGAGCGCGCTACTTTTTGTTACCAACTTAAATAGTGCGTTTTATTATCATTTGCATATTATTTACAATCCGCGCGCGGTTTCTATGACAACCCGAAACAGCGTTTTTAAGTTCGCGACGTAAAAGGCACGTGAAAACGCTTATGTGCGCGTTTGAGAGTTAAACATATAAACATTTATAGTGAGGAAAAAATAAACAGATAATAAACAAAGTCACCCGGTTTGAACACATTTGTGGTATCGCGCTCCATCGCTCCGACTTTCTCCGAATCTCTGTGACAGTCGAGTGAAGTGCAAACTTTGGACAAGTCCTCAACAGTCTTCATTCAAGTTCAGCCAGGCGAAACTCAAACAAAACACGTTCATGAAGATCCACATCATAAAAGATCATGCATCATAAAATGAAGCTTTACCTTATTGCAATACGGAGAGTCCGAATAGTGTGACTGTCCCAGTCGGGAAGGATCTGTTGCTGATGGTGGTGGAGGTTGTGGATAAAATCTCACGTCCATTTCAATAAAAACATCAACCGGTCCCTATTGCCTTTCCACTAGAAATCGTGTTCCTCGCTTACTCAGAAATCGCAACGCAAATAAGAGAAGAATGTGCAAAGTGAAGACTTGAAAGAGCCTCACATCGGTTCCGCGGTTTTCGCAAAAACTTTTATATGAACCTCTACCTCAGTCGTCTTACAATAGAGAGATACCGCGGAAACAAGCGCTCAGGTTTGGAGAGAACAAGAGCATCTGGTGAGTCTGTGTTGACTGCTGTGAGTAGAGATGTGTATCTTCTTGGTGCAGCTGTGGCTCAGTGTAGCTGCTCTATGGAGAGAAGCGAGCGCTTTGCCAATGTTCACACACAAAAGACTCGCAAGACACGCGGCGCTACTGTTGAGCGGCCACAGGGGGGCGCTGCGATGTGCGCTCCTGCTTCAGGATTTGCATCGCTTTGCGTATGATACTGTCTAACATGGTGACGGAAGATTCCGTTTAGCTGTGCCAGTATGTCTCTTCAGTGCGAACATATTTCTGACATGCGTGTCTTTAGAATGTATTAAAATGAAATGATAAACGAGAGTCTACAGCAGTGGTTTAAACTGGGTTCATTAGGTGGCCTCAGCAAACTTCCAAATTGGGCCCCAATATTAACTCAATTATTTAAAACAACATTGAATCTTTTAATATTGTTTAACTACATATAAAGTTTACAAGTTAAACTCTGAAACCTGAGGAAGTAAAGCATGTAAACCGCCATCATATGTTCAGTTTGTTTTTACTGAGCAGCATGCTGTTCTTAAAAGTTATGGAATCATCAAATTTATCACAGTTAATTTTTTTAATGTATCAACAGTATGAGGAGAGTCAAAAGGTAGTCTAAAAACCACTGGTCTACAGCTGTGGCAATCCTAAGAAAACTGGAAATGTGTATGTTTAAGATATTAGCCTTTATGAAAGGAATATGTTCCAGTTGAGCCCTCCATACCGTCATAAACATCCACTCCTGGTTTATCATTTCTCCCTCCCCATTTGCTGCTCCTCCACTCTGCACCTCTCACAAGAAAAATATTTGATGGCATATGTTTTGAAAAGTGTATTCTTAAAGATTAGGACACTGATTTCAATTGTAATTCTAATTTGTATACAGTAAAGCCATATTTCAGAAGTAATCTACCCAACACTGACCATAAATATGATATTTACTCTGCTTGTCAAGGAATCTATTTTCTCAAGGGCTTGGGAAGTTTTTTCAAATTGCTTTGTTTTGATATAGATAAGGCAGCTGATTCTCCCTTAATAACCAATCAAACATTCAGAGATGTTGTAAATGTTTTTATTATTACCTATTTATTAATTTGTATTTTTAATGTATAAATATAGGGCAACTGCCTTCCAAAAACAGAGACTATCAATATTAGCTTCTGAAATCATTAATTCCATTGTACCAAAAGCAACATCTCAAATGCTTAAGAAATGTATAATCAATGAAGATTAACCTAGTCATTTCTTAGCAGCTACAACCAAAGCAGCTTTTACAGAATTAAAATAGAGAGCTGACAGGCTTCACTACTCGCTCCAGACCTCAGCATATAGTCTATTAAGCAGCTCTGTGCACAGACATAAGATTGGCTTGAGCTATTCTGGATTCTATTTTTGCTCTTCGAATTCAAGATATGCATTCTTTGAAACATTGTGCGCTGGGTGTTGCAAAATTTCACCAGATAAAAAAGGCTATTTAAAAAAATCTTCTATCTATCTATCTATCTATCTATCTATCTATCTATAGATTAAGCGGTATTATGATTTTATGTAATATTATTCTGTGTCTATCCATCCATCCATCCATCCATCCATCCATCCATCTATCCATCTATCTATCTATCTATCTCTATCTATCTTCCCTCTTTCATTTGTTTATGAGCTAGGTTATCAAAGCTTGAGAGAAACACAAAAACAATGCCATCCATGACAGAGCATAATGTTTTCGGCGGGAAATGAGTAGGCCATGTTTTCCTCAGACAAATGGAAATGAAGGAGGTGCAGGTGGTCCTATTTCTTGTCAATTACATTGGAGAAACTGGAATTATTCATCTTTTCTCATCGATGATTATGATGATGATGGCGAGGTTGATGATGATAGAGATACACAGTGCTGCCGTTGGTATAATGTTTTTGGCGACGAATGTACCAAATCAGAATGTATCATTACAGTGGTCTTTCTGCATCAAAAGCCACAGTAAAAGAATGTCTGCTCTGGTTCTGTTTGGATACGGCCCGTTGAACGTTGAATGCTAGTGCACACAACAGCTTGCTTTTTTGTGGTCAAAGTCATGTCAGCATTTTTTCAAAGGCTGTTAATCTCTTCACAATGTGTGACTGCACGCGCAAGCGCACGAATACCCCCCCCCCCCCCCCCTCAAAAAAAATCTAGCTTCATGACATTCTCAGCCATAAAATCGAACTTTATTCTTTTATTATTGAAAAGATGGACCATACAATACCCTAACATCTGCTTCCAAGTGACGAAAGTTGAGTTTATTAACAACAACACATTGGCTTGTATGAATCTCATATGAAGTTCTGTACACCGAACTGGTAGCCTGAGGAAAGTGGCAGACAAATTCAGAGCTGAAGAAATTTTAGAAGTCATTAACATTTGAGTTATGCTGACATTTTGTTAAAGAACAATATGGTGCCCACATCGGGTGAATAAATGTACAATGAGGTTTCTATTCCATTAACCTTTGAGTATCAGCTGGCATTTGAAGCATTGTGTTGGCAGACTAGCACTCAGCTACCACATCATAAATAGACTTATTTCAATTGGCTGACACAGTGTTAATTTATCAAATGTAGAACAAGAGGTGAACAATGCAGGCTGACTAGGATATTAGTTGAAGAATTTGTTCAATTTTACTCCCCAAACGCAGCCGAACTATTTGTGGATGAGGCTTTCGGTTGGGAAGGGTGTTTGGTTGGAGGTTGTGTCCATGGGGAAGTTCCATTTTAGTCGATATGTTATTTCAACGGATGTACACAGAACCAAAAATCAATGGGATTTCACAATGTGAAACATCTGATAGCTACAAATATAACCAGCAGAGTTAAACTAACTTCCTCACAGCTGAAGTTCATCAGAGTTCAGTGATTTAGGTGATTTTGTAAAGCGCACGTTTATCAAGAGTCAAGAGTTTGAACATGGTTGAACAAAGATTCAGATTCTTTTTATAGTTGCAAATGAGTGTAGGCTATATCCAGTTTGTTCATAGGTAGTTGTGTGTGTCAGGAGGATTTTTTTTTTTTCTAATTGTATGAGCGATGGTTACTCTGATTGCCTATTGTTTTGTCTCTTGTGTATTGGAGAGAGAGTGAGCACGTGCCGGTGCTGGGTACTTGGAATCATAACTTTACCTCAGAAACAGGCATCTCCTGAATGTCAACTTCCCATCCCCCACCGTATTACCTATTAAGTACATTCAAACAACCCCCTCACACACACACCCTTCCCCTGTAGAAATGTACAACCTTCCCCCATGCACTGTGCAGTTTGATTTGTGTGAATATATGTATATAGTCACAAATCTATATCTAGCACACACTGCACACATACACTCACGGTGGATTTGTGCCGTTTTTACCTTATTTTTACTTGATCGAATCCTTAAAAGTGACTCAGTGTAACGTGAAGTATTCAGGCTGATTCAGTCATATTAAGTAATATTTTTGGCTCAAATGAAACCAGTTACTTTAAATGTTACTGCGTGAAGCACATTTTTTAGGTTACATTACAAAACGTTTTTACATTGTACCTGCGGTCTTAAACTGTACATATAATATCTTCAAGATATAGCCAGATGATGTTTCATAAGCTCATTCACTCGCACACTCACAAAAACATTAAAAAAAAATAAAAAATTATAAACATTTACACACTATGCATATCTATTTGGTTTTAAGAAGCAGCAGATTTTAAACTAATGCTTTTTATGAAATCTTATTTTTTAAATAGTGAAAAGCAGAGGAAGGTATTAAAAATTCATTGGTGCTGCCTGGGAAATGACAGAAAACCCCTAGAAAGATAAAAATGGTCAAATAAATGATTTCAGGAGCCTTATATCTAAGTGTTTTTTGGAAGTATAAAGATAATAAATATGCACATTTTAGATATCAGGACTAGGAATGCTAGTATAAATTGCTTTCAGTAATAAATCACTAAAAAAGAAATCAGTAATTTTAATTGAATTTTGGCATCACAACATCATGTACAATAAGCTATATAGAGCTATACAGCTATACATCTCCATGCTTTATACACTCCACAGACTTTTAAAGTGAGCACTGCTTATGAATTCTTCCAGTGTCTTTGAGGAGAAAAAATATAATTTGGTGTGTCTA